CATGTGACACCATATTATGGTGCCACAACATGATGTGGCACATTATGATTGGTGTCACACCCATCATAATGTGCCACATCATGTTGTGGCACCATAATATAGTGTCACATGTGGTGCCATAAAATTTCTGTTTGTATAAGCCCGCATTTTTTCCTTTTTACAAATATGCTATTTTCATTAGAAAATATCATATTAAAAAAATAAAATAAAAAACACAACAGTATACACACACAAGTATTATAAAAGATAGTATGGGGAAAAGCTACAGTACGTTATGGAACCAGTTCGTCGGAATTTGTAACTGTTGTAAATAGTTAGATCATGTAACTGTCGTAAATAGTTAAAAACAAAACAATATACACAAGTATTATAAAATAAAATATAACGTATGACTCTTTGAATTTGCCTAAAGAAATTAGATGTCTTAGCTCCAACACACGCCACTAATGAATATCACTTGCTGATTTTGTGCTGATGGGCTCTTAATAAAGTATGTGTTTGTTTTTGGGGCATGAATTGTGTGTAAGTGATGTAGAACGTGATACGAAAGCAAAGAACGAGATATTCTCTCGTGAAAATAGGACACACCAAATAATTTTATAAATTCTTCAGTGTTTCTGATGTCTGACATACGATAATAAATAGAAAAGAGAGTCTACACTTGTAAAACAACTGCAAGGACCTTATTTACTTACCTAAACTGAAATAAGAAATAAGGAAATAGAATAGTAAATGGAAGGGTTAATTGCATAAAAAACTACCACCTTTTGTTTAATTGCAAATAAACTCAACCTTTTCAATTTGGCAAAAAAAATACTTAACTTTTATTAAGTATTGCAATTTTGTCTCGTCCGCCGGACCGCCGCCGCCAACCGCCACCCGCCGCCGCCAACTTTGCCGGATATTGGAAATTTTTATATGATCTTGTAGCTCTCCTTCGTGCCAACAACATATCCGAGTTTCACGAAAACATTTCGACGATAAGACGTCCAATTTTTCGGTCAAAGGTCGTAAAAAATTTAGATCTACGACCTTTGACCGGAAAATTGGACGTCTTATCGTCAAAATTTTTTCGTGAAACTCGGATATGTTGTTGGCACGGAGGAGAGCTACAAGATCATATAAATATTTCTAACATCCGGTAAAGTTGGCGGCGGCGGCGATCCGGCGGACGAGACAAAATTACAACACTTAATAAAAGTTAGGTATTTTTTTGCCAAATTGAAAAGGTTGAGTTTTATTTGCAATTAAACAAAAAGTGGTGGTTTTTTATGCAATTAACCCTAAATGGAAAGGTAAAATAAAATAAATAAGGAACTAAATCCGGAGTCGATCAAATTTATCCAAAAAGGCCAAGGCAGCCTCGTCTCCATCAGTAAGTTTTTCATCTTGTTCGCGCAGCCATTCATGCGTGTGTTTGATATTAAAAGGAGGTGATTATCAATTGGTGAATTTGTGCTGATGGGTTCTTGAATGAATTATGTGTCTATTTTTTTTTTTTTT